GCAACTGGAAGCAAGGAGCCGCCCCCCCCCAACCGTCCACCGTCCTACCCGCGCTGCGCCACGCCGTTGCACTTTTGGGGCCACTTCCACGCCGTTTGACCGCGGCCGGGGGGGGTTCCCGACAAGCCGTCGGAGGACGCGGGCCGTTTATTTGAAACGAACCGCGTCCACCCCACCGCGCCATGTTGGCGGTCACATGCCGAAGATGGCCGACGAACCCAAGGCGCGGTGGCCGCATCTACGGAGGCCGACGAGCCGTCGGAGTCAAAGGACGTTACCTTCGTAGGAGCAACAAACCGCGCCATCGGGATTTCAAATGATTTCGGGACCGTGGTCGCTGTCAGGTCGGGAATTGATCTTCAGGTCGCTGCAATTGGTAGACTTCGTCTCCAGAGTTTGTCCAGCAGCAGGTTCAGGATAAAACATGATGAAACCCTGCAAGCCAGAAGCAAACCACAAACCGCAAACAGCACAAACTCGACAGCTGTGGAGGCCAAAGAACCCCAAAAAGTCACCCAAAAACGCCTCGAGATGAGGTTCTGCAAGGACTGGGGTACCTGGGATCCTTATCGCCAGCCTTTGGACCCTCAGCGCCGAGGCATGGCTGTGGGTCGCAGCACCCCAGAACGGATTAAGTGTATGTGTTGTTCATGACTAGCATTCCCATTGACATGCACTACAAAAAGAAGTCTTTCGGCCATTTTATGGAGATATTTCAGGGGGTACCATAAAATAAATCAAACGAACTAGAGCATTACATGACAGGGCACGAGGAAAAACAAAAAGAAAGCAGCAACAACTCCATAACTCGTCTGTGAGTCTGAAGACATGTCCAAGATACACATACAAGCAGGCCTCAAGGCAACCCTTTTGATCTATAGGGTAAATATTGATGGGAATTCATGAGCAATTCTTGCACTAATGAGAATTCACAAGTATACATGACGACGGTGCAAAATCCACATGACAACAACCATCTTGTCAGTTCCCACTCGATGCATGCCAGGTCCAGAACGAAATCAAGTTTATTTACTTGCCTCTGGCGTGTCAAGACTCTCTTGCCCAGGTAAGCCCCAAGGCATAGAGTGTGGCAGGGAACAGCCGCAGCACTCGAGGAATTGCGCTTCTGGTCTTCACACTTTCTCGTTTTGCTCAACCTGCAACATGTACCTCATTCTGATAGGGAAGTCAAATGGGAGTGAGCTCAGGTAATCTCAGAAACCTAAGTGTCCTAAGTAGTCTGGATTCATGAACAATCTTGCCTTTAGAACTTCCTCCACATGCATGAGAGGATATGACGTTGATTGAAAGAACCTCAGGCCAGCTGGGCATTCTTTAGTATATCAGCCCGGCCGTTCTTTGCGAGTTCTTCGGGTTGTTCCCACTGGGACTGGCATCCCCTCTGAAACGTGACAACGGGGTCAACATATCGGAGAAAAGAACAAGGTCGTGTTCAAACGGCTTTTCAGTATGTAGGAGATCTGGAAGAACACGGTCCAAATTCCACACATCTTGAAGGGATTCCCAAAGGATTCTCAGGTGGGCGACTCTTGTCGATTTCCAAGATCCAGAAGCGACTCGTGTCCAATCCCTTCGAGGCCATCGTTCTGACAGGTCAAGCGGAGTTCTGTGTGGACAGGTTTCACCAGGGGAGACCCCTCTTCGTGGTGTTCTTCGTCCGCTGTGTCTGCTTCAATAAGCAGTCTGTTCCTCAGATGATGGACGTCCAGAGCGGGTGTGCGAAAGATGCGGGATGTGGTTGGTTCAAAATGGCCTTGCATCGCCGCATCTTCCTGCTCCAATTTGCCCTGAGAGTTCTGAGAACAAAAGCCGGTCACTCAAGCCCAGTTTCTACCGCCCACACCCCTCGGATGGTCCCTCGTGTCTTTTGTCGGCAGGGACAATCCTGAGCTTTTCGATCAAACTTTGCGAGCCAGGACTCAGGACTCAGGACTTCAATTCCCCCTGACACAAAGAAATCATTGGGTGTTCTATGGCCACAAAAAACATGTAACACACATTCACATTGAATAAATATCGAGTCGATCTACATATAATATGTCTATACATATATATATATATATGTATCGTTTAAAACGTATATATACATGACATGCATTATATAATAGTATAACTAATAACATATTATCACAACAATAGGTTTAATAGAGACTATAATGTATCTATTAATCTATTATGAACTTAATCTATTTAGCATTTTTTAGCACGGGTCCAAAGAAAGCCAGCCCAAGGATGACGCCACGTGTAGCTGACGTCTCCCGGTCTCTTTCGGGGTGGTCACGTCCTCGCCCCGATGCACATCGTTTGACTTCAAATCACATGTGCCAAAGCGCATCGGAAGAGGTGTGGCTTCACATGGTCCATGGTTTCCAAGGTGTGCATCACATGGTTTCACACGGTTTGGTTGATGTTTGTCCGCACTCTTGGTGGTTTCGGCGCACATCCACAAAGGATGATGAACTAACCACTTGTTGGTGCCTGCAAACATGGCACCACACGGTTTCTGGTAGATTGTAGATGTCTCAAATCGCTGGATCCAGCGCTTCCACACCTTTCCCGCTTGCGGGAAAGAAAAGAAACTGCTGGCGCCGGCGCCAGCTGAGAATGGAAGACTGGGATGCGTCTAGACTTAACAGCTATTCGGAATGCGCAACCGATCGAAGGAGATCCCCCGATCGGGTATAGGGCTGAGGCTGGAAAGGGGGCCTGCAGGATCCATTTCTAGGTCGGGGCCAAACAACAATGTTGTGAACTGTATAGAGAAAAGAACCCGGCTAGCTTTCAGTTCTACCCGGGTTCTTTTCTAACTGAATAGAGAACCCGGCTAGAAGTTGGCTACCTTTCTATTCTCTTAGCTCGTGCTTCTCGCGGCCTCGCGCCAGAACTGGATGTCGAAGTCAGTGCGAAAGATGCTTCACCGCCCTGAAAGTTTCAATACGACTGGCCATTGGTATTAACCAATGGGCCGACCATTTTCCTCGGCCATGATTGGCACAAGCGGGTGAGAGCTCTTGTTGGGGGGGGGACCCATGGAGGAGTGTTTTTAAGCCATTGAACTTGGAGCTTTTTTGTGAATCACCACCCAGTCAACTTCCGCAATGGTCTGTTCTATATTGCGTGCTCAATGTGTACAGCATTGCACATCCGTTTGGTTACTGTGCTTTCACGCGCTCCGGAAACTCACAACTATATAGATGAGAAAAGCATTCCAATTCTCTACATGTACATTCAACAAACACAGCAAAATGTAACTTTTCAGAACCCAACCCCGACCACTACCCACTATCTTTCAACAATTGTCTCGCTGAAAAAACATTGCTATTTTACGGGCTGCCTTGATGGACGGAGGAAGACTACTGCTACTGCTACTAGTGTACTTCTTAAACGTAGGTTTTCTGGAAGTTCTGAAAAAATCATGTCAATGTATGTCAAAGCTAAGAGCCGCAGTGTTTAGGAACAAATTTATTGTTAATCACCAAGGTCGTGCCGTAAGGAGCCGCTTACATACCAAACGACTTCCACCAACAAGAAACTTCTAAGAGAAGCACTTTGCTACATGGACGCAAGCTTCTCTAGAGGGTGCCGGCGTCTATATCTCAGGATGCAAACTTGATTCAAACACGCGCACAAAGACAAGCGCCTACTTGTCTATGATAACAATTCAGAACACCTGCTTCGATGAAACATCACATGCTTTGCTCTGCCTTTTCCCAAGACTTTCCAATATGTAGACGTAGACACCTCCACACAAGAGAAACACTTCTATACCATGCGCCTGTTGTGAACGCAGCACGTGTTCAATCCCGGTCTTCATGGAAGGGAACAAACTCGACGGCACGGCATCCCACACGAACACCCGGTCAGCTGGGTCCTCACTGACATGTGGTGACCCAACTCCTTGCTGGATGCCAGGTTCCTAACTCCTTTGATGGACCTACTGCTCATGGAAACAAAAAAAACAATCGAACAAAAAACAGTGATCACTGCACAAGCCGAGTAAGAAGTTGCCAGTCTGGATTCAGTCTGAGGAATATGTATAATCGTGATCATCCGTGCTAATATGTCTATATCGATATATCATGATATATGGGTATCTATCTGTCTTCAGATAGCACCAGTAGTTGAACCTGGATCTCTATGGTAGAAGGATCATCGAAAAAAGGATGGTCCTCCCACCAAGTCTTGGAGTGCTCGTGCCGTTGGAACATGCCGCTGGGGCACACAGAGTCGAGTTGAGCTGACGTGGATCTGAGGTGCCTAAAAACACGTGAAAGATCTTTGCGAAAGGTTCGTTTTGACGGCGGAAATGCCAACAGAGTGCAGAGTCCTGCCACACTCCAAAAGTGAGCTTTGAGGTTTCTGCATGTTTTTGCGGAAGCTCAGTGCTTTGGATACTCCCTACTTCGAAGTCAATGTCTTCAAAAGCCGTTTGTCACCACGACACCTGCGTCCGATCACGCGACGGCTCGTGAATCGTTAAGAGCGTTCGAATCGTTCCGATTGGAGAAGCACTGAGTTATATCAGACTGACTTAGTAAACTATGGTCGTTATGGTCTGTTATAGTTCGTTGATTTTCTCTGTTCCAAATCGAGGGCTCATTATGGTCTGTTTGACTTTGTTTGATTCTCCTCTTCATCTTGTGTTAGGACCACGCTGATGTCTCACAGTATATCAGATCTATATTATTACAGATTATAAGGTGTACAAATGTGCTAGTATGGATCGTACAATTTATACTAACATTTAATCAACATTAAACTATATGATAAGTGATGCAATAACTATTGTAAGGACAACATTAGCAAACAAATATCCTTAGAAACATACAAAGATGAAATTATACGCATTGAAACGCAGGTACCAAGGCAAACCAAGCGGAGAAAACGCGGGGTACTGGTCAGTTCCTCTAATAACGATCTCAACTGAACCTGGTTGTATCTCGTTGATCTGATAGGATCCTCATGCTTTCGACACTTCAAACGCATTGCAGAAATGAGTAAGCTCCTCAGTTCGTCAACAAAGCATCGAGCATGTTTATGCTCTCAAACCGCCCTGGGCGCTCTTGATCAGTGCAAAAGCAAGGCACTCCTGGCAAACATCCAGGCTGGATGGGAGTGGGAGAAATTGTAGGGCATCCTTGATACAAACTCGTAGATTCATGTAGCTTCGATTGTTTTGGAACTCTGGACAAAGACTTCATCGTCTACATCTGCAGGACGCAAGCTTCAGGCACATGGTTTATCAGTGACTCGGTCTACTGTGCAACACCATTTCACACATAAACCGACCTCATAATGTAAAGAAGAACATCCCCGGCGCCGCTGGCGAAGAAGCCGCCGTCACTCCAGATCCCCAGCTCAAGCGCCTCTATGCCTTTTGCCAAACAAAGGGTGCCTCCTGAATCTGAAGCTCCATGAAGCTCCTGGACGTCGGACTTGGGGCGTTTGAGCAAACTGCCACGAAAAAGCCTGGTAGTGTTCACCTTCACAAAACAAAAAACATCACGTTCAGAAAATATCATAGAAGAGACGTCTCACCTGGAGATGTAGTACCTGTTGGAAGCTTAAAGAGCCACCCCACCTGTTCAATCTATGAACCAGTAGACTGAACCAACAAGGATTCAACAATGAATCAACGCCACGTACACAATTCGCCACGACAAGGCACAGGTGCACAATCAAACCTACTTGCTTGGTGACCTTTGTGAGAAACCTGTCACTGTCACGGGGTGTACGGTGTCCCAATGTTTACCAGAAGCAACGTGCTCAATCGGTAGATCGTTCACTTCACACCATGGAAATACGGAGAATAGTGAAGCGGCGCAGCGGAACAAGGCAGAAACCCGACGGCCTAATGGCCTAATGCGGAACACAACAAAAACTGGGTCCATCTTGTCTTGTTCCAAGCCAACTGCAAATGCAAATGACTATAAAAGCTCCTGGAGTCTGAATCCAGAATGTATATTAAATATACTATATATATCGGAAATGAGACCCATTTACAGCGCGAAAAGTCTTGCAACACAATACTTGTTAGCACAGGTACTTTGAACTCCAAACGGATCTATTTCCCATGTGAACAGTCTTATCATTTGTTTGAGAGAAACAACATTAAAAAAAAAAAACAGAGAGAGAGAACACACATTGGCTAAGGTGGTAAAGTCAAAGACATGTGACATGTGCTGCAGGTTTGCACCCACCAAGATTGACTCCATACTGCAAAGAGTGCTCAAATCTGATGATTTAGATTGATCTAATCTTCGACTTGGCACACGCATGCCAAATACACAAATACACTGAGTTCAATCTCTCTCCTGATTCTCCTGTTCTTCATACATCCAATCTCAAAGCCTGTCCACAGTCATAGATTCACTCACGTTGTTGGAAACGATCTCGTTCTCCACCTGCTCCTGCGAAAGGTGAAGCTGACATCTCGGCCACTCTCCATTCGCAGGACAAAAGGTCCTCACCACACTTTGCTGAAACTTGATTGCGGTATTCAAGGACACTACACCCTGCTTGGAAGGGTATGCAGAACTGGGTAGTACACAGCACCGCTCTCAATGCCATTGTTGATGAATTTGGTATCCTGCTGGGCCAACATAGATCAACCAAACATACCCACAAATGCTCTCTCTTTTGAGGCCAATCACCATAGGAAACAGGAGAGAGAAAGCGACTAGAGAAAAAACAATGACGGAATATAACGAGCAGCAGGCACAATAAAGTCATGAGAACAAGTAAAATGATGTTCTGGCGAGGGGCCCATGTCCCAGTATGCGAGGATCTGCTTTGTGTGCTCTCTTCCCCCATCCAAGACTCCAGTGAATAGTGAAGGTTCAAAGAGGATACAGTGCTGGAGTTTAACACTTCAATGACCAAGTCAGAGAGTTTCACACCACATCCTTCCTTTGCGCTTCTTCAGCTCACTCCATGGCCATGCACTCGTCCAGTCAGTCCAGACTTCACGCCTCGATGGTCATCGGAGGAGCGTCATCCTGTCTTCGCGTCTTCGCTCCGGAAGCGAGCGCCGAGTGCCACCGCAGCAGTTGACGTACGCGGCACGCAGCAGTCGACGTGGTCCATACGTATCGATGGAAGAAAAGCCAAATCCGCGTCATTTGAGTGTAGGAAGTTCAGGCTTGGATCGATCAGTGATTTGTTCATGTGTTCATGTGTTTGCTTGCTTTTTCTTATTTTTGTTCGCATACTTCATCCGTTGGAAATCAACATTCCATTAAAACAGTCCCACGGAAGGGCCTCAAATGTCTGACATCCGCAAACCTCCGCCAAAGGAGCAGGAGACTTCCATCCAAATGCTCAGAAACTCAAAGACTCAAAGTAACCAGAAGCAGGCAAGAACATGTGAAAATACATGTAAGGAAACAATCATGCAGCTGGTGCATGTCATTCGTCTAAATGTCCCCCGGGTCGTCAAAAGAGAAAAAACAGAGGTACACCCAGGAATCATCATGGCAATGGACAACCACCGGCTTTGTTTTGTAAAGACATGACCATCAGAGAATTGCGGGCGCCATCCACGTCACCCTTTTCTCATTCAGATGGAGGTGAACTGGGTCGGTGCACCGGCGGGTTTCCCTGTGTCGCGAACGGTGACCCACTAGGTGACCGGTCCTCCATGGACTCCGATGGGGTGCCTGTGGCGAAACACGTGTTGTGTGGCGAAACCACACAGGGGACGTGTGACTCAAGGGGAAGTCTGTGATGGCCAAGCTGCGTGCAGGACTTGGTGGAAGTAATCTGAAGAAATGGCCAATGACCGCAGTCCATGTGCAAGCCTGCATAGTATTGCATAGTTAGAGTTTAGGGGGTTGGCCATTGGCCTTTGTCTCAGGAGGGGCTAAGAGGCATGTAGCATGTCTGGATGGACTGGATCGGTCAGTCTTAGCTGTGCATACAACACCATCTTTTCAAAGTCAACCAGAACCGACAACTGCGCAACTGGTTTCGGCCGACAAATGAGATCAGCTGGCAAGAAGCTCTCACAGCTCATACATCGATGTCATCCTGTTCCAAAAGACAAGAAGGAAACGCCTACGTGATCGCCTACGTGGTGCGACCGCTAGCCGCTAGTCGGCTCTTGATCGCCCATCTCGCAACTTCAATATGCCTGGGTCCAAATCTGCAAAGTGCCCTGACCAACAACCCAGGATAAGCTATTCAGCATAAATTGATATGTGTCAGGTATGGTGCCAAAAGTTCTGAACCACAAATCTCACTAAGATCTCGCAGGCATTTTCACCAAAACAACAACTCAACATGGAACCAATGCTACCCGGACCCTTGTGACTCCACCGACTTCTGTGAGTGCATGCACCGGCCTCCGTCACAAAGACTGGGTGCACAAAAGAAGCCCGCCGTGATGACGAGGTAGCTGATGAAGAGGATGAGCTTCACGACAGGTTCATCTTAGCAAAGGACGCTACGAACGGAGCAAAGGGCATCGCTACGAACGGAGCAAGGGCCTTACTACTAGGAACAAGAAGCTATATATTAGAAACAATAAGAAGCTGACTTTAATTAGAAACCAAAACGACCGTGCTTCCCATGCTTCACGAGACCGTGAGGATCCGTGCTGTCCACCGCGCGGCCACCGACACCGCGTCCACCGAGCACGACCGAACGTCGACCGAAGGGCCTTCCAGCACATCCGCCACGAGGAGCTCCCAGACGCCAAAGGCCAAAATGGCCCAAATCACTGGTGTGAGCGCCAGTGACAGAACCACCTGCACTCGTGCAGGGCGAAGCAGATCAGTGACCAAAGGCGTATGTAGTTATATATATTGATAAAATGGAAGCGGTGTAGCGGCTATATAGGTCGTTCATCGTTCCTCCGGTTGGGATCATTTCCCGTGTCTTTGGATTCCATCCCGGCCCACACAGCAACCCTCGAAGGATCCCAGCGGCTGGGGTACGAGGATCCGCGCCTTCCTGCAAGGAGTCATAGGATAGCGTCGATGGAACTGATTGTACAGGAAATAGACCAAGCGGCAAGACTGGACCATCAAAAGGAAGCTTACCTGGCTCGTTGATTTCCGCAGAACTATCATGAATGCACTGATCGATGGATGCTTTACAAACAGAAGGGGGGAAGGGCCAAGGGCCACGCTTCCGAAGCTTGTCTCTGTGGTCATAATAGAGGGCCTGGGAGTCCGAACCAAAGTCTGATAGCCCATGACAAGAGGCGCTTTTCTCAGATTTCTCTGGTTTTGGTAATTATTCCTGGCGCTTTTGGTAGTCCAAAATCCTACAGCTACCAGGCAAACTCTCAGAGCATCTGCTCCGCGACACAGGTAAACGGTAAACTTGCCTTGACCACCGCTCAAATCGAAACGCACACCGACAACGCACCAGTCCAAAGCAAAAACCTGACGGGCAAACGACACCATAGAGTGGTGGCACCTGGCCGGAGCCGGCGTTCGCGTTTTCCGCACTGAGAGTAGTCTTATAGTGTGTCTTAGTAGATCCAGCGGATCCATCGTTTGACAGGGACCCACAGTGAAACACTATCGAAACACTATATATATATATTACATAATATATTACATTATTACATAATATACTATATTACAAATAGGTTCAGACAATCCCAATGCCTTGCCATTCTGTTCTGTGTGCAGGATATATTTTACATACCATCACAAATCCGTGCAAAGAAGAGATGCAAGGTACATGCAAAGAGAGTGCAGCAAGGTACAAGGGAGTTACATACTTTGACAACCAGCACTTTGAGTGATGTTTTGTTGGTTTTGCAACGGTAAGGCCACTGGATCAACTCAACACAGCTCAACACCCATTCCTGTTGCCGAACTTAGATGTTACAATTAATCAGATATCTGAATGTGTAGTTTCTGTCCGGCTAGAAGAATAAACAGTGGATAACAGTTTCATTTACTAAGCCCGTAATTCCTTCCAGAACAAACAACCGTGTGGTGCACAGGTCCTAAAATATTATGGTCAACACAATAAACATAGGACATGCGACTTTTGCAAATAATATTTTTTGCTGTCCAACCCACGCCGGGTTGCCTCAAATCGTCAGACCATGGATCTAGAATGTGACAGTCCGAGACCGCCCTAATCGTCACTCAACATTGGTATAAAAAAAGAAACAACAACAACAACAACAACACGTCGAACGTCGGTCGTCACTCGACGCGTCTCCCATGAGACGTTTCTATCCGCAGATCCTCCGTCCTGCGAGCCCTACTCCGTGTGTTCACCCATGGTCGGTGACGACCCCACCGCACTCCCGAGGACGCTCCGAATAGAAGAGGTCCAACAACCGTCTCGATCCTGTCTCCACCCAGGCGCAAGGAAGTCCATGGCATGCTCCACCCACCACCTAAGAGTGGAGCGAGTTCGTTGCGATCTAAATTTTGAATTGGCAGCCCCACAAGGTGGCTGATCCCGGGCCATGAACTTTCGGGAAAAACTGCTACAGTAACGAGTTTAATGAGGACTTGGATGGTACCGGAAGGCACCAAATGGCACCGGGGATACAGGATACATGCAACACATAATTCAAGTCCAGTAGGGTGCCTGGGTCCTGCCGCTTTCAACATGTACACACATGTCACATGGCATGACATGTAGAAAAGTTAGGCGCAAACATTTCAAGCGGGAGATGGTAGTGCCACTTGCTTGTGCTGTGACTCTGTTCTTCCTCCACAAGAGTAGCAAGCACTCTTTGGAACCAATAGGATCGGAGTTCAAGGGAAGATGCGGCAGCTGCTGGGTGACGCACATGGGGTGTAGTGGACTTGAAATGAGTGGATATAATAAGTACCCCTATCCTCTGATAATACCTTTAATTGGAACTACAGGACGTACAGGACGTTGGATGGTCTGTTTCTTCGTGGTACACTTCTTGGATCGGACGTGACAAGACTTGTTGGTGCTTGGCTCGCACGACCGCAGAAACTGGACAGGCAGAAACATGCAGAAACTGTAAAAAACGATAGCCGGGGCACCGAAAGCTGTACATGTCATCATAGGAGTGGCCCTCTTCATGGCTGTGTCCGTAATGATCATCCTGAACGCGCGATGCCCCTGGCATGGGTGATGGGAGGTCATACGTGGGATGAACCTGTCTACAAATAGAAATATGCTGCCCCGCCACCGCGCTCTATTAGACTAGCTCTCGCATATGTGCTCGTTGTTCTCTGGATTGTTCCCTCAGGATCTACTGTATTGGGACCTATATACATTATGTCATTATTATGTAGTCTGAGAATATAAACCCAATAATTAATCATCTATCTATGAAGTACTCAGCCAATCCATGAAGCTCTCTACCACTAAATTTCAATGACCTTCGAACACGGAACACGGAACACGCAACATTCAATGTGTGTGAAGGTTTCCAATGTCTTCCAGACCTCATCTTACACACCTTGAGATGTGCAACATGGACGGACGTCCTAAGGGAATTTATTTCCGGTTCCAAGTCTTCTCCAAGTTTGAAACGACGAACTCAGACGACGGGGGTGGTGCCACTGGTTTTAGGTCACCAAACCCGTAATTTCATTTTGGCATCCTTTTTTGAACAGAGCTGGAAAGCGAGCCTTCACCCTGCATTGGTGGATTCTTCCCCGATTTTTAAGTTGTCACACACATCGACGAATCGACGTCGGAGTCTCATGGAGTCTTAAGAGACGAATTCGCAAGTAGATTGGGTTCTTCAATCCATTCGACCCATTCTTCGGGATATCTCTTGGGAGTTGTGAAGCTCGCCACAGCTTCACTCAAAGGCTCGCCGCACGGTGGACAGCTCGCCACATCGTGTTCTTTCCTTTGAGGCTTAGAAGCTCATCTAATTGTCATCGTTAGTCTGCCCATTCCTGGAAAAGTGCCCACCTTTTTTGGGTTTAGGGTTTAGGGTTTAGGGCTGTTGCTCTTCGCCAGAAACCACTCCACCGGACTCAAACGAAGCGAATCGACGTGCTCTTCGACACAGCGATGTGAACCGAAGTTGTGGTGCTCTGGGGGCGTGGTCCAGTGGTACCCAAAACGAGAGTGGCACGGTTTCCAATACATGTTTGGTGCGGATCTCGTTTTCTATCTATTTTTGGGTCTATAGAAATTGATTTACCCAGTAGATCCCAGTAGTACAGTAGTGCCCAGAAATCCACATCTGGAAGAACGGCACTCCCAAAGGGCTGAATAACCCTGTGACCCTGCTGACAAGCATCATGGGATGTGTGAGCTGCTTCAGATTGGCGCAACTTTGCGGTTTCCAGTGCAATCTGAGATCGACAAGACACGGAACGAAGACATCCAACAACAAACAGGGTTCCTTCCTCCGCACAAGCATTTTTGATAGGTTCGGTCCAATCGACATCGCAGAACAGCGATTTAACGCGCCCAGCGGCAATGTTTTTCCCGGGTGAGAGATTCTTCCAAGAGATTCTGGAAGTCTCCAGGGAAAACAAACAGCAGGCAGTAGCAGGTGTTCCTTGTTCTTGTTGCTTTGTTCTTGTTGCTTTGTCAGTTGCACTTATTTAGGTTCCTATGAATAGCCTATGACCCTTAAGTATTCCTGATAAAAAGGTACACTTGCAAGTAGTGTGCATCTGTTGTTGGGGTTGGATTTGAGTTCTCCATAAGTACGTGCCTCTATCGCTGCAACACCTCCGCAATCAATCTCCGACATTTCTCTTCTTTAGTTTCTATGAACGTCATTCAAAAGACTCGCAAGTACGCCCTGTTAGTACTCCAACCTTTACAGTAGGAATGTTTGATGCAATCAGGGTAGGGACACCTTCAAATTCAACTTTTGATGAACAACACCTCATCTCCCACTAATAAGTAAAATATGTAGACTACATGTCTTCCAAATTCGGATTGCCCCAGTCCGTCCCTCCCAGCTTTTGTCAAACAGATCCTCCAAGATGCGATGAAGGGGAAAAATGGCACCGGTGCTGTGCAAACAGTAAAGAGTACGTATCCTTGACGGCCGAGTCGACCATCGACTCGGGAAATGGATTGACACGGTCTGAACAAAGAAACTTGGCGTCTCAATTTGCAAGGTCAAAAGGGGCCAATTCCAGGAAACAGGAGGCTTCATCTGGTCTAAACATGTCTAAGATTCATGTCACCTTTCCTGATCTTCCAACATATTTACAAAACAAGTTGTGGATCCCTCTCTCAGTGACTCAGTGGATCACTCCACTGGAATGGGCCATGGATCATTAGCTTCCTCTAAAACAGACCATCCAAGTATGGAAGAGTGACTTACATTAGTAGGGTCTATACATATGTAATTTATGTTGTAATTTAATCATATACATATTTCATACATGATAATGCATGATATATGGATAGCTTCCCTCCAAACACACACACAATTAGTTGGGAACCGGGTGGATAGATCTGGAAAAAGGCCATGATCCGAATCTGGCAGCCTGGAGGCTTTAATGGACGGACTTCACCGACCGTCCAATGATGGAAGCGTCTCACCAGGTTCCAACTGAAGACTGCCCTGTATATAGTGACAAGTGGATTCAATTCCTTCAAACATCTGCCTGAAGGCACCTGGGACCCACCAATAGTTTCTTGACATGGTTTCTTTGGTAGACCCATCCTGCCCAATGGATCCTCCATCCTTACCAGCAAGTCAAGTCATGAAGATTGTTGCTTGCTCGGAGCTTCCAAGCGTCGGGAAACATGTGTTGATATTTATCTTAGTCGGTCTCAAACAATTTTGCTATATGTTGCATTATTTTGCAATATATTTCAGTTGTTGTGTTCTTTCTGGCAAAGAAGGCACCATCCAGTCATCCAGGCTCCCAGTCCCTGCTGCTTCCCCGGTTCGCTCGTTAGGTCCCAACCCAAGCCGCGTAGGTGTGGTAAGCCACGCCCCACGGTGTGAGCAATTTGGCTACTTAACCTGAGATCGTCGTCCCCGTCGACGATGCAAGTGGCGTAACCGTCGACAGGTCGGCATGCCGATTCTGAAAGATCGCCGGCACGCCACGGACGGGGTCTTTGCCGTCCCAAACAGCGCATCCGAAGCAAGAAAGGCACGAGAAAACCCAATTTAAAGAGAGTCGTCGGCACGTTTGGAGTTCCGTGGATTTTTGGATCTTGGGAACTTCTCATGCACCAAAGCGTTGAAGCGATCCTTAGTCACAGTCAAAACATCAAACGGCATGAAGCAGTGTGAACAGAATGCAGCTGGAACACATGGCTATCCGTGATATACACTGCACGGAACCAAAACAAACTCGTGCCAGGATCATCTTTGTTTCAATTCTTCCCTTGACATCAGTCTGCTGTTTCAGCGGACCAAACAAACACCCACAATGCGGCGAATCGCAGCCGGGGGAAAACCAAACGATACGAACACACGACGCGCCACCGCGCCACTCATCACGCGGTGAACCCGCGGTCACCCGCGAACCACCCGCGAACCACCCGCTGATCGCTCTTAGGGCCAAAGGATCCAGGTAAGTCTCCTTCATCTTCTCCCCCTTAGAGGCTCCGAACCACTTCCGCAGCATGCCGAAGACCAGAGCCCGATCACAAATGAGCTCCTCCCCCGTCTCTGGATGGAGGTGGTTGTTGGAGCAGCAATGGCATTCGGTATCCTGCCATGATGATTCGTGCGAGACGGGCGGGTGGAATGTCATGGTTCTGCGTGAACATTCTTCGATGCAACCAAGGAGGTCGATTTGGGCAACTAAACAGGTCATAGTTTATTTCAAGCCTCACAAGTGTGCATCTCCGTCATCAATCCATAAACACTGCCTTTCCTGCAGCTTTCGTTCTATCATATATTTGAGGCCAAGGTCACAATAAATACCACCTTTGCTAGGTCATGAGTCTGTGGAAACAGAATCGTGTTTCCCAAAACATGGTCTGTTCAACATGTTCTAACTGAATTGCTGGTTGCCTTCAAACATGGAACATGAATTAGAGTAGACAAGAAAAACAAAAAGCGTCCTTGATCGTCCTTGATTGCCCTGTGTTGTGGGCTTGGATGAGCTTGGTTGGTTTTCGTCACTTCTGTCAAACAAGGAAAGCACAGGTGACTCGGACAATGATGTATCTCTGCAAGGGACACAATCTGGCT